TCCGTTTGTGGATATTTGACTGTTCAGTGATTCTAACTGAGCAGTTTTAGTTAAGAGCCTCAGGGAATTGAGAGGACTACACACCATTGACTTCCTGGGATTTTGCAGGTTTTCTCCCTCCTTTTGAAGTAAAATTCAAGACCTGAGAAATTAATTAGGCAGAACTCAAATGTTCATATGTATACCACCATGTCTTCCTAATCTGTACAACTTCCACACAAAAATCCTCTGTATTATATGAAATGTTTTTGTGGGGAGAGAATAGTGTTTACCTTATTGTATTTACCTTATTTGGGGTTGGAACTAGATGAACTTCAAGGTCCCTGCCAACCCAAACCATTCTGTGATTCTGTGTGATAGTTATTCTAAGAAGACATGGTCTCCAAATTGAAGTCCCAAAAGGCTGCCCTTCTGACAAGTAAGTTATGTATTAGAAGGGGATATTGAAAGAAGGGCTGGTTTATGTTCTTATTGTGATCACTAATATATAACTACATGCTATTCATTTTTATTATCTTAAATACAAATAGGTGCTAAATTAATCTCTTTTCAGAAGCTGAAAAAGGATATCAGACAAGAAGGAACTGCTTGATGTTCGAATGACCAGTAGGTCTTGCTTAGGAGCAGCGTAGTCTTAAGCTCTGTAGCTGTAGAGTTATTAAGACAATCTTATGGCTGTATTTAAACTGAAATTACACACCCTCTAGAATTGTTTGTTTTTCCACTGTGAGGAAGGGACATTGGAAAAATATAAACCTATAAACGTTTGCAAAAATGAATTACAGATTTTGTCACTTTGCAGTGTGTAAATGGCTGGCTTCAGCCAGTACTGCTGCCTTCTGATTAGTCTGACTGATTTGATGAAATGGGCTATCATGCAGGTAGTCTTTCAGAAGGTGACCCGATGTTGCCAGGCACTGAGTGTGCTGGCCCAAAGCCTTCAAAGATATGTATGTTTATGTCTCCTAGATATAACTAGTTCAGCTGCTGTAAGAGCTCAGGCCAAGTTTACCTTATCTAATGTCCTGAGTTCTTGTGCATCAGGTTGAACCATAGTAACTATCTGTATGCACACTCATGGCCCGTCCCAGCCCCTGATGTTTGCAAGAATACCTTTCAGCCTACAACTCATGTGACCTGCAATCACCATAGAACTTTCGTTAGTGTAATTTGAGCTTTTGAACCTTAAATAATGAGGGATTTATAAAGAAAGAGGGTTGGAAAATGAAACTTCCAGTACCTATTGTTGGCTGGGGGGAGGAGGGTATCTATTCCCACCCACTTTTGAAGCTCCTTTTTGCTACTCATGTTTTTTAAAGGGTTTTGACATAACTGAGAATATTGCAACTGGGTTTAAGGTATCAGTCCTTCAAAAACTGCCCATTCTTGAGTCATTCTTCAATGACTTAATTCTGTTATTTTCATTGAACATGGTATGATGAGTCAGAGGAATGGATCAAAGGAAACCAGCAGTTTGTCTTGGGTGCTCAGCAAACTTAGAATATAGAATGAAGTTAATTAGGGTTGAAAAAGGTTATCAGAGTTTGTGAGATCCGAGTTGGGATGGAGCATTACAGGGCAGATTTTAATAGGATAGATGGAAAATATTTAAGCTTCCAAGCAGAATGATGTTCCCTAAGTCAAAATGTAAAGCAATATGTGAGTAGATAGGAAGTGTGTGTCAGAAAGATCACCCGATTCTTTCTGACTGAAGTTAGTGTAGCTTATATTTTGACAAAGAAAAGTGAGAAAGGAAATAAAAGTGGCTGAGACAGAGGTTGCATAACCTGGGAATGAGGAGAGAACCAAGTAATGCACTCTGCTTTGGGGAAGAAGGTTTAGAGCTGTCTGACATTGGAACACATCCTCAGCTGCTGCCCCCACGGCCTGGTTCTCTTAGGCTCGTATCTCAATTGTTGCTCAAATGCAGTCAGGGTTGGGCTCTTTAGAGTCAGAATTTGAGATGGTGACAGAGTATGTTTCTCCATAGTGGGAGACCATACACTTTATTACACAAGAGCAGTCTTGCCATCACTGTTATCTTTATTCCACCACCACCTTTAGTAAATAATATATAACTTCAGATTACTTTTTTTCTTTGTCACCAGAGCTACTACAAATCTGTCTTTGTTAGGTTCAGCTGTTAAATATCTAATGTTCTCTTTAGCTAGGAAAGTGAAATTGAGGTCAATATTTGTCAGCTATACTGCATGTGGGTTTTTCTATTTATTTTTTTAAGCCTATTTCCTAAGGAAATGAAACTCAAGAGCTTGTACTGTTTTTTTTTATCCTCCACCCTCTTTCTGTATCTACCTGTTTGTCTGATGAATTTCAGCCAAAACCAAGAGGTTTCAGAGATACAGAGCTCCCCACAAAACATAACTGGTTAACTTAACAACCAAATTAATTCCCAAGCTGAGGGAAAGGCCATTGTATTCTCTTACAATTTGCCACCAGAGATCAAGGTGAGAGTCTACCTTGAGACAATTCCTGAGGACCCTGGATGCCCTCTGAACAACTGTAAATTGATTTCATTTTCTTCTCGTTTCTTCCCACATGGTGGTTTTTCCTGTCTTTTACACTTAAGTTCTTCCTTGTCCACTGATTCCAAAAGGCTACCGGGTCTGCGTGTCTTCTATAGCAGGCTATATAACTAGCTTTATTTTCCCCTTGGGTAACAGGAAGAATGCATGTGAAGTATTTTTGCTGGCTGTCTTGTTCCACTGAAATAGATACCTACTTCTATAAGAAGGTGAGCTCAGGATCAGTTTATATGAGCTCTTGCTCAGTAATGGACTCAGGCACTTGGCCTCTGCAAGAAGAGTAGTTTTCCTGCTTGTGGGATTAAATATGAAGACTCACATACTGTCTCTGTTGGTGGCCTGACCATTATGCCAGGATAAACTTTGGGTTCTGTGGATTTCAAAAGTTGGAAACATTCTTTTTCAGAGTTGATTTTTAATTAAGACCTGAACTTTGGAAACAGTGTGCCAGAGGTCTGAGAAGGCCTTCCTGCAAGCAGTCTTGAATTTATTTTTAATGCACTGAATAAACATTAGGAAGTAAAATGCTTGCCCCAGGATATCTGTAGCTACTTTGCCTTTTCTCTTGGCTCTGACTTCTCAAACCTTTTCCTCTTTATTTAAAAAAGGAAAGTTGGGGAACAGTCTGCCTGTGCTTAATAGCAGCTCCTGTGCCAGTCACTGCCCACCTTCATCCTATAATTGCTGAAACCATTTCCAGCAAATTCATAATTTCCTCTCTGCTTTTGACTGTGGGGTTTATTAGATTTTAGCAGAGTCAAAGGTTCATCCATTCATTCTTTAAAGTGTATGATCACTTTACGAGCTAGCATATTCTTGAGCAGAAGTGTCCATTTAGTTCTCCATTACAAAGATGAGCAGTTTGGGTTCTAGCATCACACTCCTTAATTGTTTGTTAAAAATATTGTCATACATTTCCCAGTTCAAGGTTCCTTTGGAGTCACTACATTCATGCACAGAAGAATGTGTCTGAGAAGAACAGCTATTCAGCTCTTATAATTTGCAGGTTTTGGGGGAAGAAGAGTGAATTAATCCTTGTGCAAGTCTGTGTATGCAATAATCTCCAACCAAGTTCTGGGTTGTTATTGCTCAATGGACCTCATGTAAATGCCTGCATCAGTTACTTTTAAATTTCACAGAGTCTTTATGTCCCTCAGAAGTAGTGGTGGGATTGCCTTTATAGCAAGGTCTTACAGTTTCATAGCATAATCAGAGTAATTAACAAAAGTAATTCGTGTACTCTTGACAGCCAATCCCTGATCTGTACACAAACATATATTTACTGACATATCTGTACACGTACATTTGTACAGACTAAAGTACCTCAATCCTTCCATGTTTTTAAAATCTAATAACGCATGTTAAAATGCATGTTTTAAGCACACAGATGGCATTGTGCATTTGCAAACTATTCAGTCACTGCTCTGTCAATGATTGGAGCTCAGCTTGAAAGGGGATTCTCTGAAGTGATGTCCTTGTTGCTGTATTGACTTCTGGCAAAGTGGAAGAATCTGACCAGAAGGCAATTAACCTTGGAAGTAATTTAGGGGGTACCAAAATGATGAGTCTTAAGAATTCCTTCCTTAAGGCTTTGCTTGCTAGGCTGCTGGCCACTTAAGTAGTGGAGTCTGAGCTTTGAAAGCCAAATGGCAGAACTCCTCCTGATTTAGATGGTGTGCTGTCTCATAGTTAAAACACTTCAAAACCACAAATAATCAGCAAGCTTTCAATATGCATAAATCTGTACTCACACATTTCCCACCGGCACCAGGTATCTCACCTCCTTCTTTCCTGAAAGCTAAACTTTTTTTTTTTTTTTAAATTTGTATTTACTGTGAAGTATCTGTCATATATTGGTATATAGAAATCAATACAGTATAGCAATGCTAAGACATTCCATAAGTCATTATTCTGAAATATGTATGGTTTCTAGTCCTACTGGCCAGGGAGTTCTGCTACTTAGCAGGGAACTTCCTTTGTCTTTGTTATGCTAAACTATTTGAGTAATTTTGCAGTTCATATAAGGATCAGTTTCGTCTGCAGTTTTCCTGTTGTGATGCAACTAGCTTGTGTTTACTGTTTTCAACATCTGTGAGCCTAACTATACTAAATTGCAGAGTGCTTGCTCTCTTCTGAGCATCAGTCATCTTGAAAAGAGTGTACGTCAGCTTCATTTGAGTCCACCTGCTGCTTTAGGGTCACCAGGGTGTGTCCTCTGCATTGTTTTTCTATTGTGCCAGTGACTATTTTAAGGTGGGTGTGATGCTTCTGAGAAGACTCATCTTTCAGGAAGCAGTTCAGAAATCTGATAGAATGCATTTCAGGTGTATTATCACTTTTGAGATGAAAACTTTGACTTTAACAGGTGAAATTCTGCAGGTGTTCTATGTAGTTGCTTTATACTTACACTTGTCAAACCATAACTACCCTAAATATTTGCAATTTGTTTCCTTACAGATGTGCACTGGTAACTACATATTTGTTCCTTATATGGTAACTCCACATAACAAGGTGTACTGCTGTGATAGCAGTTTTATGAAAGGACTAACAGAACTGATGCAGCCCAGCCTTGAGTCACTGCTTGGGCCTATATGCTTACCTCTGGTGGATCGATTTATTCAGCTCCTGAAGGTGGCACAGGCCAGTTCAAGGTGAGTTGTCTTTTTGTACCCGTTTAAAA